GGAGGAGATTTTGCTAAAGCAGTGTTTGTGGAACAGACTTACCTTATGTGTGCCTTTGAAGCTGGATATGTACATAATGGTGTAGAAAAAGCTTTCTTTAAAAATGAGGAGTGTCAGTCATAGCCCATAAGGTAGAGAGCATTTGGTGTGGAGTGGGTTGTCACACTTGGAAAAGTTTGTGTTGGGCAAAGGACATTGTCTACTTGACTGAGTCAAGCTTAGAGAGAAGAGTTTAGTGGCCATGAGGCCATAGACTGATCTGGGGTGAAGCAGAGGGCTGCAATTTCCTGCTGAGCTGTGCCATTGCAGAAAGCAGCTTCAGAGTAGTGGGGTCATGGGAATGGGAAAGTGACTGTTTTGTTAGAAATCAGGTCACTGGTCTCGGAGGTGATATCCTAGTTGCCTATTTTGGCTTCAGAGACCCTCTGCATATTTTGCTGAAGGACGGTCTTGGGAGTACAGGTGCAAACTGAACTTGCATACTGCTTGGGGTATGGTTGGCTCTTAAAAGTTGGAGATTAATGCTTACACTGCCTCTTTTTTGCCTGTACCTGCTAGAACAGAAGAATTAGAGGTGCCTTATAAGATCCTTTTCAATCAGTAAGAGAAAAAACTTGGATCTTCTGGTGCCTTCTACATACACATAGTGTAAGAAGTAGGTGTGATGTCACCTTTTTTGGTTGTCCTAGTAACAAGTTAAGCTGTTATTCAAGAGAAATGTACTGGGCTCTGCAGACAGGGTAGATGGAAGAACACTCACTTTTGGATTTGAATAAATTGTAGCTTGAATTGTTTGTTGCTATCAAGACAGAATGCATTTGAAAATGGCCAAAACAGTGCCAAGGTGCAGACACACAGGACTAGACTGGATGTAGGTGAGAAAATCAATATTGCAAGCAGAAACTATAGAAAAACCTTAAGATTTACATCCATCACTTCACTGGAATAAGGCAGAAATAGTAGTTTGGGCCTTGACACTGTCTAAATATATGATCACTTGTGGGGCAGAGAGAGATGTAACAATAGGCAAATTGCTTAGTCTAGGAATAAATTCTCAATGTCAAATTTAAGCCCAAAGCTGCTTTAAAAAAAACCTTGAAAACAAATGTAGTTGTAGTAGGTACTTGGTGACAGGAGAGGGTGTAGAATATTAGCGTGTTATCACACAGCTGTTCTAGTTCTGTGTACTTCCCTCTCTTCTTAAAACTACTTGTACTTGAACTACATCCTTGGCCACCCCCACAAACCTTGAAGTGAAAATGAAGGAAAATCAATTTGTCAGTAGTGGGTACTTCACAGTAAAATACCATTATAGTGCCTGCATATATGCATAACCACAATGCTGTTGGGGGGCTGCTGAATCCATGAAAAGGGAAAAATTACTCAGGGCTAATCCATCAAGAGATTGGGCAGTAAATATACTAAATGAGTAGTAAATGTAAATTGTGTACTAGTTGTTGAAGGTAGATAGCTGGGAATGACCCCATCCTGGCAAAAGCAGAGTGTAAAACGTAGTCTCCTCACCAGCTACTCAGAACAATCTGAGATAGAAGAAAAGCTTCCAGAAAGATTTGCAATTATTTTTCTGGGTGATATATTAATGAATGTATCAAGCTGATTGTTCAAGCAGGAATACCTGGTAATTAGCAGTTATGTCTGTGGTATGAGTCTTACGAGGCAGATAACCACTTTGAAGAACTGTCTGCAGTTCAACCTGCTGGTGGCAAATGATTCTGGAAGATCTCGGGAATCATTTTGGAATGGTTCAGCAGTACAATAAGCCACTGTAAAGGAGGAGTTTGAGGAGACATCTCTAGATATAATCCAGAAAGGATGCTGCTGTCCCATCTGAACTTGGGGTGAACTGCAGTTACTGGGGTCCATTAACCTGTTTGCTGGAGCAAGGAGATTGTGTCCCTGCCATCAAACCACAGAAGTCAGTTATACTAATTTATATCCTACCACAATTAACCTGGAATCACTATATGATAGGAACAAGGTTTAAGAATAAGTGAAGTTCACAGCTCAATTGTTTTAAAAATGTCACTCCTGTAGTGCTAACATTATCTCTTTTTTCCATCAACCTCTGTCTGTTTGCATTTGTAACTTGCTGTAAGGATATTGCAGAACAAGAGAAACAGCAGAGCCTTTCTATGCTGATGAAGTTTGTTTCATACCTGATGCTTCTTAAAAAAGCACTTAGTGTGATAGCAGCTGATTTGTAAGATCAAAAGAATCTATTAGTACTTAAAGACAAAATTTTGGATGAAAGGGCATGTCATTAGCCAAGGAGCTATTGAAAAGCTGATAAAAATGCTAACTTTTTTATTTATGTAAAAAATCATGTTAGAATTCAGATTAGAGCTGGGAATGGGGATAAGCAGTCATTTGGGACTGGAATTTCCTCTTGTAAGACATTTGCAGAAAAGCCACAGGAGAAGCATTACAATTTTTTTGCTATTAGTTAGATTATTCTCTCTGTTTGGATGTGAACACGGTTCATCTGTTCATGAAACTTTGAGAAGTAAAATTTCAGCCTGTACAGGAATACTGTGTTTTGACTTCAAAAGACGCTCAGGATTGTTCTGTGGAATTGATCCTGGAGAACAGAGCTGTTGTAAACACATGGAGTTAAGCTGCAGGACTTTGATTTTTTTGGAGTAGAGGTTTCCTGGAGTTGCCTGGTGAAAACCATGCTTCAGAGGGCATCATCTAATTGTTCACAGCTCTGAACAATTCTAATCTCCTAATCTATGGAAGAAGTGCAAAGTGTGATATTTCAGGGACCCAAACTAATAAATCACTTATGGGTTCAAATTGTGAACAGGACTTTGCAGGAAACCTGTGAAAAGGAAATGGCAGGAAGAGAGTGATCTACAAAATGACAGGAATAGGAAATATGCCAGTGTCAAAAGCTTTTTGGAGGCTTGGTCTTTGAGGGGAAAGTCAAATTCACTGTTGTTGATATGGAAGACTGAGGAATGATAGGTGGCTGTAGTTACAGAGAAATAATATGTGATGGGGAGATGTGGGATTAGGGAACAGAGGACAGTCTGTGCCTAGTTTCGCTGAATACAGGATTACTTTCTCAAGAGGAAGGGGGAAGGAAAAAAGTTAATTGTAGACATGGGAAGGGTCATATATGCCTTGGCTCTGGGAATACTGCAGGAGGAACGTGGAAAAGTACACAAGTCCTTGTGGGGAACATCAGCTGAGATTTCGGTATTATAAAGCCAACCAGTGGCAGCACTGTTGAGGCTTCTTGACAACAGTGGTTTGTCAACAGAGACAGAGCTCCCTTCTTTTTGCAAACTGTAGTAATAAAGATTACTGCAGTGCTGCTTGATCTGTGTGCCTTTGCTGTTACAGCGAGAACAGCCTGTAGCTCCTCTTCCTTCTCGAGAAAAGGTTCTACCTGCTGTGTTGATTGATTGAAGCTCACTGGAGACAGAGGAAGATTTAACACTCACTTGAGGGCTTCTCTTCATAAGTTTAACAAGATAGATAGCCTCAAAACATGTTTCAGGGTTGAGATTTGCAGAGGGAGAACACAAAATAAGGAAACTCCTGCATTGTTGGGATGGCAGCAGTGTTGTGACAGTATAAAAGAATTGCTTTAATTAAAAGTTTCTGAAGACAGGAAATCCTTCTTTCTGAGCACAACCCAAACAAACAGTGTTCTACCCGCAGCCTTCAGTAGTGCAGTGCCCATTGTCACTGCAGAGGTATCTACTGGATCATGAAGGTGCTGTAGTGTTTGTTTCCAAAGTCCCTGGGGACTGAACAGGTACCTGCAGGTATGGCATGTTCGGTACCTATGGATCATATTCCTGCTTCACTCCCTCCAAAAAAATGTCTCCATCATTGTGGGTTTGAAAACATTCTGGGACTATGATACAGGATGGAGAAGCACCATTCTTCAAGAGAATCCTGTTCCCATGCTCTTCAGGAGGAAAAAAAAACCCACCAGTTTTTTGAGAATCCCATGTTCAAAAAGAACAGTGATTTTTATTCTTGGAAATATTTACCTCTCCTTGTAACTGCAAGGCAATATGAGCAAACCTCCATTATCTATTTCTGTTATGTGTCTATTTTTCTAAGACACAATTTCTACTGTATCAGTTGCAGGAGAATATTAGAGTAATGAGTGGTGGAACTGCCATAACCATTTTCCACTGCAGCTTGAGAAAACACAACTGTGTATTTTAAAGCCTTTAAAAACCATGTTAAAATAACAGCTGTGTACATTAGAATGTATTTTTTCAGTTAAAAACAATTTGAGAAATTATAAATTAGATTATTAATTAAAATTAATTTAAATTACATTAAAAAAGGGAAGACTTTCAACTCAGACAAGACGTTCCTATAGAAATGGAAATTTTTGTTGTTGAGGTTATTAAACTTCAAAGACAAGCAAGAACTGAGATTACCTGGAAGAGTACTTATAGTTTTTCTTTAAAAAAAAATTAAAAGAGGAAGGGGAGAGGATGAAAGTTTTGCTGATATTCGTTCTCCTTTTACTCTTGGTTACTTGTCTGTGTGTGGTGAAGGAACAAGAAAAGGAAAAAAAAACACTCAAAAGACAAATTAACAGCATAGAAGGCTGTAATTACTTAGACACCTTAACTCAGACTTGTTCAGCAATAGAAACAAAACTAATTTTCTCAGTAATTGCATTTCAGTTATAGTTATTCAGACAGTTTATTCTGAAAGATGAAAAATTCCAGTTATAAAATGCATCATTTGATATACATTATGTAAATCAGGTCTGTAATATTTTTGGTTCCAACCAGAATCAAACTAGAGAAATCCAAAGCAAAGTGACTGTGCTGCTCCTGCAGCGCAGAGTTGTTGGTCATGTCACCACTGAAGTGTCTGCCTTAATCACCAGCACTGTTTTGGGAATGTAAACTGGTTTTGCAACAGTTTTCAAGCATGAACCCTGTTGTAAAGCAAAACCATGTTCACATCAAACTAAGTAACCTTTGTTCGTGTCACAGGAATCATGTACCGCAAGTCCTGCGCGTCTTCAGCCGCGTGTCTGATCGCCTCTGCTGGGTACCAGTCCTTCTGTTCTCCAGGGAAGGTGAACTCTGTTTGCATCAGCTGCTGCAACACTCCGCTCTGCAATGGACCCCGGCCGAAGAAGAGGGGGAATTCTGCTGTGGTGCCAAGGGCACAAGTGATAACCACTGTTCTGCTTCTTAAATTTACTCTGTTGTTTTTGTATTGCTAAACTTCAAGCAAGTTTGGTGGTTTGTTGTTTGTTGTTTTTTTTTTTGCCCTGACACAGTTTGTTCTGTCTCCTCCTTTCTTCAAAGACACTGCAATTATTTTCTGTTTGTTTCCAAATCCCTGTCAACAGCGAGGGAAGTTCAGTGGTTGTGTGGAGAGAGGGGCTGATATTTTTGGCAGCTAATGAGTTCAGTTAGCAGATTGAATTTCCAGTGTGTGCTTAAAAATCCCAGCAGGATACAGAACTCCTGCTCTTTTTGCATAACTGGAAACAAACCCATCTGTGTTATTCCTTTTGAGATGTAGTCACTTTCCTGGGTCATTTTAATTTCTGTGGTTTTTTAAGTTCATTGCTAATCATTAACTTTGCCTTATGAAGTCATACTTGATGTTCACAAAGGCCGTTCTGTGCATCTGGACCATGCTCTGAGCTAGTCTTGAGGGACACTGCTTCCAGGCTGGGCTCTGGTGATTCAGGACCTGGCTTCTGTGGACTGCAGTCAGGCGTGGGCTCTTTCTGGAAGGTGCTTAGGAAAACTTTGGTGTTGCCCTTGGTGGAAGAATTGCGCCTCGACGACATGAAGAGCAGCGGGCGTAGGGACCGGCTGCTCTGCGCTCTGGAGCTCTGGTTGGCTCTGAGGAACTTCTCCCTGTTGGCGTGTTGGATGGTCAGGCGGCAGCGCAGGATCTGCAGGAACACACTGCGGAACTGCTGCGAGGAGATGTTGTACAGGAGGGGGTTCACCACCGAGCTGAGGTAGAAGAAGGTGTCGGCGATGGGAAGGAGTGTGATGTACGCTCTGAAGTAGAGGACAGTCCAGTCCTGCTTCGGTTTAGCAGCTGCCATGATCCTTCTCACCTGGTTTGGCATCCAGCATATCGCCAGAGTGGCAATGATCAACCCTGCGAGCAGGAAGAGGAAGAAAGAGGTGTGCATACATGGAGGAAAACACATAAAATACTATCAGTTCTGCACTTACTTGTTAGGAAATAGTACCAATTTTTCAGTGTTTGCTTGACAGCTTTTTCTGCCGGTAGCACTTTTTTGTTTGTTATTTTTAATAACTGTTACAAGGTCATTGCAACACATGCTCTGACAAAAGGCCACATAGTGCTTGGGTAGTGTTTCTTTGTACCTGTTGTCATTTTTTAGTTTTCAAAGTGTTCATTCTCTGATCATCTGTATCTTTGAAAAGAATGTATTTTATTTTGGTTTTTGGTCTTACATTTCTTATGTCTTTCCCTTTACTTTGAAAAACAAACAAAATAAATAGAACTTATAGCCATATTAGATCAGGCAATACCCAGAAGAGATCAGATTCTTGTTTGTACTTTACAAAAAAGAAAATGTATGCATAATAATATATTTCGTGTTATTTTGGTAGATTTCCTCTTACAGAAGCTATTTTTAAGTAAAATATGTATGGATCTTTTTATGGTAATTAAGATATGTTGGGCTTTCTTAAAAATCAAATTCCAGTGGAATTAAATGATGAATGTAAATGAGAAAAACCTAAACCTAGTCATGAAAGTGTAAGCAGTTTCAGATTATAAATTATGCTTAAAAATGTGATATCAGACCATTTTGTATTTATATGTAAATATAAATACATGTTGCTGCATCACTAATGGCATTAAAAAGAGGGTGACTGAAGTGCTGGGTGTCTAAAAGTTCTGCCTGTGTGGAGCGGTGTTCAGTAGCGTGCAGTGGTGGTGCCATCGTCAGAGCAGCAGCCCTGCAGAAACATATCAGTGACTTGAGGCGGCTCTTCCCAGGCAGGAGATGGAGCAGCGACAAGAAACCTGGATCCTCGATGGCATCCTCACTGCTGGTGTGTGTCAGTACTGGAAATCCTGACACCTTGCAGGAGATACCAGGTACACAAAGTAATTCCTCTCACTGCACCCCCACTACTGGCACACAATGCAGCCACCTGTTTAATGTCCCCACTTTGTTTTTCTCTTTGCAGGAAATGTGCCTTACAGGAACACTTGGAGGGAGCAGAAGGTGCAGGCTGGCTTCTTCCCTGTTGCAGGCACACAGAACTGATGGGATAGTTCTTACTTGCACAGACTTGTGTTACATTGCTAATCTCATCCAATGTCTGACCTCTGCTCTCAACAGCAGCACAGAAGCATTTTAATTCTTACTCGTCTAGACTGAGTCAGATTGCCCCCACTGAACAGGTCAGTGTTGGAATGCCGTTCTGAAATAGCACACACTGACTTTTGAAGCCAGGAAAATGATACTTCTCTAGTGGGAAGATATGAATGTAGCAGGGAAGGGAGATAGAAAAGAGAAGAAAGATTTTTCACAACTTTGAAACTACCAGAGCCTCATCAGAGTATGTCCTAAGTTCTCTCCACCACCACTCCCAAGCAAAGAAAAGGTATGAAACGCCTTTAAAAAAATATTTTGCTAATGAAAGCAATAATTATTTCAACAAATTCATTATCTCCCTGAATGAGCTACCCAATAAAAGTTTTCCTTTTGATCCCTTGCTTCTGTAATCACTTAATGGTACAATAACTTTGGTGGGACGGGGCAGGAGTGCATCTTAAACTACAACACTGGATTAAGAGCCCCAAAGGGCTGTTGTTGGCAGGCCAGTGGTAAATGTGTTACTTTTGCCATTTTCTATTCTTTGCCTATGAGAACTTCCCTCAGCCACTGTTTCTTTACTCTCATTTCCACACAACCCCCTCCCTGCCCCTTTGCTTGCTCTTCCCCTGCTGCCTTGCCTCACACTTTTCAGTACCTATTGTGTCTCTGTCAAAGGTTGATCTGAATTTTGTATTAGTCCTGCAAATTTTGTAGCCTTCAATGCTTTTTCCCTGCTGTCAGCATAATAAATATGGGGTAGCAGTCTTGGCACAGACAAACAGAAAATAATGCCCCCTGAGCAATGACTTGTGATGGGCCTTATAAAAAGGCAGCAAAAGGATTCTGCTGCTCCCATGGGGCTTTTTTTCTGGTGCAACTTAAATGCCAAGTTCACAAACCCACATCTGCAGACTTCTTGTCAAATTTTGCCAGATGATCTCTTTCAAGGGAAATGAAAATATGCTGTGTCATTTTTGTTGTTGTTGTTGTTGTTCTTGGTTAGAAACAGGGTACTTCATCATGCTGATTAATAGTTTCCTAAATTATGAATGCTGCTGTGAAAAAAACTGTGAACAAACAATGAGTACATTCAGTTTTAAAGCTCAACCGCAGTCTCTGAGATGTCTGATTTTTTGCTTGTATCTGAATTCTTTGCCATTGACCTTTCTTTTTAATTCAAACTGCCAAGTGCTTAAGATGCCATGTTATATTCTTCAGACACTTTTGTTCTGAAAAACTGAATATTTGGTAGGGTTTACAGCAGGTGAAAAATTAGCTGCTTGTGCCCTTGCACAGTGTGATGATGTCAGTCTTTTGGGGGATGGGAGGAGATGTCTGCAAAACAGTTGTTTTCCAGGGATGACTAATTGTCCATTTTTACACTTTGAAAACAGGCTTGTTGATTCAAAGGAGGTGCACCATGTAAATAAACATGCTGAGTGACTCACAATATTTTCTCCACTGTTCACACCTGACATGGCAGTATGGAGTAAACTGAAGCACATCAGAAGCGCACCTCAGGAAGGCTCTATGTTCATTGCTGCTGCCGCCAGCAGTCCGAACTTGGACAGAGGCTCCGGGAGCTTGTGTTGTACTGTAATGTGCTAAAGGTGCTTAAACAGTCTTAATCAGCTTGAATGCAAACCAGACTGCATCTTACACCAGTACTGATGCATTCTTGCTTGAGCCTGTCACCTGCTAGGAATTATTCTTCACATTTCATTTCATATCCAACTTTGCCTTCCACTCTATATTAAAGGGAAAAAAATTAGTAGCTCTGGGGCTTTTTTCCCCCCCATTTTCCTGACTACTGCACTGAAGCACCACACTTGATGAAAGAAGAGATTATCTCCCACGGAATAATGATGTTTCTAAACAAAGTAACGCTGTGGTTCTGCAACCTCCATTACTGGTGCTTGAAATGTCCAACACACATTTGAATCATTCTGGTTTAATCATCAGAAGTGCATTAGACAATGCCAATAGAAGCCAGGAGCCCTTGTGTTGTTTATTGACTGTGAGTACATCTCAACCTTCAAGTAAGGGTGGGAGCTTACAATTCATTTAACATTGTTGTAGGTATTTCAAGGTAACAACCAAAAGAAACCAAGACATGAAAAGACCCTTGACTAAAACCAATTTAAAGAGCTAAACCATAAACCAGCCATAAAATAGTTTACTCAAAATAGGAATGACCACATTCAAGTAAAAACCCACCCCAAACCTCTAAAAATAAAGCATGCAAATTTAACAATGCTTTAAATTTAGGAATCATTATTCTAACTTCCCAAAAGTCAATCTCAGAGTATTAATTCTTAATATGTGACAAAGGATCATTTATGTAGTAAAATAAACGTAGCGTTTAAGTGCCAATAATATAAATATGCATTGCTGGCAGAGAATAGGAGTTTGGCAGTCATCTGTCCCTTAGCAATACTTTTTTATTACTCAGAACATTCCTCTGGGCCATAGGAGACTGAATTAAATTCATTATGAACTTTATTGGGAAGGATTTTAAATGCATGCTTGTGTCTGGTAGAGTAGAGAGGGCTTCCTTCTCCACCCTTCTAGGTTTTCCTTGTTCTTCTATTAAATAGGTTTTTGTCTTTTTTTTTCTGCACCTGACCACTTAAATCTGACTTCTTTTATAATCCAGTGTTTTGTCTCTATCTTGGCTACTGCCAGCCATCCCACGAAACCTGAAATTGTCTACAACATTACAATTGTCACCAAACAACATCAAAACAGGTTTCTTTGGCTGCTACAGCCCATTAACAGAGGCAGTGGTTGCAGTGACCTCAGGTACGCACTCCTTTGCCTGTGACACTTAACCCTGACTGCCCTGGTGCATCGAGGTCTGCTGGACTCTGCTGCTCTTGTAATTACCCCAAAGCAGTGTTAGACCTCAAACTTTGCATCTCTGTGATTTAATTAATGACACAAAGCCTGGTTCTCAACATCTGCTTGTAAACTGACATTTAAATGGCAATTGTCAGTGGAATATAAGCATATGGTTACTGAGCTGTGAGTCAAGTTCAGGCAGCGATGCAGTTGGTTCAGAGGGAGACTTTTTTTAGTGCTCGCTTCTCATTTGCGTATTTGGCCCAACTACACACAAAGGCATAACGTGCTCTGTGCCTCCATCACAAAGTGTTCCAACAGTGCATCACAGGCATGGCTCCCGAAAGAGGAAAAGACTGAGACCACCCCTCAGTATTAAGTTTATCATTCTAAAACAATACTAATCATGAGGAAATCACTTGGTCCCTATTGGATTCTGCTACAAATGGCTTTGAAAACATGAGCAAGGATACCTTCTAGCTAATCAGGCTCTTGGTGGTCTTAATATCAGCCACTACTAATTTGGAAGAGCAAAAAAAGCAAAGACTCTAGTACTAATTAAGAAGGTTACCTCCAGGAGATGGGATTTTGGCCTGTATTTGTGTTACATTTATTATTTTAACCAGGACAAAAATCTTGGTTTTTATTAGAAATAAAGATATAAGGCAGTAATTTATTGCCTTTATAGTCTCTAAGAAGAGTCAAGCCACAAAATGCAGTCTTCAGTCACTGAGATGACCTTCCCAACTGCAGATCAATGCAGTGCTGTCTTCCAGCATCTGCAGCTGCTCTGTGTCCCCGCTGCTGCAGTTCTCTGCATGTGAGGAGTCAGCTGCCATATGCTTATTGTCTCCTGACAATTGTCATTGAAATGTCAGTTTACAAACAGCTGTTACTTTCATTGCTGCAAGTCTGACTTTTAAGTGCAGCAAAGAAATGATGAGCAGAATGATACCGAATGGCTGCTGCACTGCTTGGCAGTGCAGGCTGCTCAGAGTGCTAAACTGAGGAAAGCTGGAGCATCTCAAGGAGGGACTATCTGCTCTGTTCTCCAGAGTCAAGGATCTCCTACTGGTTCTTCTTCTGACAGGTAAGAGTTTGGAGCATTTTCCCTGGTCTGTTAGCAGCTGTGTAGGATTTCAGGTCCAACCTTGCAGCTTTTAACAGCTCCTGTGAGTATCTGATGTTCAACCACTGTCCAGATCAAGTGACTCAAACCCCTCTTTGTCTCTGACCAACAGCAATGAGCTGTTGATCAGCAGAAGGGTGTACAGAGAGTGGAAGAGGGGAACACACCTTTTGCTACTGCTCCCAGTCTGGTCATTGCCTACCCCATCTCTCCCTTTTGTTTAAGGTCAAGTGGTTTAAAAGCAAGAACCACTGAGCAATAGTGTGTCTGTTCAAGGCTTCTGTGGAACTTGCAGTGTTTCTGCCTACCTGCCAGAGCAGGTATCTGCATGTAAAAGGGTCCCTGTAACATAACTCATGCGCTAAAAGGCCTCTGTATATCCCAAATTAGTCTTGTAACATTCAGTGCTATCATGCCAGCATCCTTTTAGTGCAGTCTGTCCTGATCATCTGTCAAGGAAACCTCTGTCTTGTTCTCTAAGATCTAGAATTAGGATAAAAAGGCAATGGGACAGATTAGAGGAATAATCCTTCAGACACCGTGAAGTGGCCACACTCTGCTTGCCCACACACAAATGCAAAAGGCCCCAACAGGACTGTGCTCCCTACAGTATCAGAGAGCCCACAAATCCAGTTCCAGCTGGCACACAGAGACAGAATGCCACACAACATGCAGGCATGAGATAAGCTTACCAAAGGTTCCCAACAGATCTGTATGTGTCCCCCCATTCAGCCTAGCAGCATCCTTTCATAGGCAGAGATTCACAGCTGGATCTTGGGATCTAAACCTTGTCCATTGTGTCCCATCCTCTGTGCTGCACCTCTCTTTCTGTGGGCTGTGAAGGAACTTGTTCTGGGTTACAGTCATTACAGGAAGTACCACCACACAACCAGCCTATGAAACAGAAGTGGTGGTTTTGGTGCCCATAGTTGACTGGAGGTATTTTCACATTTCCCAAAACTCTGTTGCTTGATCTGTATTCAGTGCACAGAGTGTCAAAACCATTAGTGAGGGTTTTGCTTGAATGAGGGCTGTGCTGGGCTCCATGGGCAGGATAAACTTCTGATGAAGATTTAAACGGGAAAAGAATACTAATATAAACTTCTCCCTTTTCCCTCTCAACCACATGCAAGTTTCTTTTGCTGAAGGACAAACATTATAATAATAATAAGCACATATTGATGTATGTTGAGGCGAATCTAAAATGTATTAACCCGAGAGATAAATATTGATATTGCTTTCTCCATGTCAATATTTAGTTCAAGGGACAATAAATTTTGTTATTCACTGAAACAAGTCAATACATGCACTGCTACATACATTTTGTATAAACTCAAATTATTCAGCCACTCCATTCCTTTTATCCTCAACTTTCAGAATCATATATTTGCCTTTCAAAAATGCTTCTCTGTAAGGGAGGGAAGCAATAGTAAACTAGCCCTACTCAGGCAGTAACCACAGGGAGAAGAAAAGAGAAGATATGGCCAATGTCTGTCTCCCAGTGATTTCTCCTTCAGTTTTTGTAAACACTGGGAGATCTGCAGGCTCCTTTTGAGCTCTGACACTGGATCTGGGCTGGCTGCTGTTTGCATCCTCCTCAGAGAACAGGAGTTTCCTCATGGCTGCACATCAGCAACTTCCTGCCTTTGCTGTGGAGCCACCTCACCTACAGACCATATACAGGGGTACCACTAGCAAAGCAAAACTGAGGTAAAATCCAGCCCCTGCTCCTGCCTGTGCTGGTACTGCAGGGAAACCAGGGGCAAAGGAGGTAGGGAGACAAAATTTTCATCACCAACACAAGTAGGCAAATCTCCAAATGTTCACAGAGAGGCTCTGGCAAACACCCCACAGCCCTTCTCAGAATGGGTTTAAACTGAACAGAAGCCAGTAACAAACTAGTTATCATTATAAATACTGCTGGAAGCATTAAGCATATGGCCTGGGACAAATGGTTGAAAACCAGCTCCATGTACATCCAATCCTGTCAACAGCTTCCAGCAAAAAACCAATGGACCAGCAATTCCCATGGCCTTCAGGGGGATTTGGGTCCATCTCATGTTCATTATGCTCCTCCCAGCCCCAAGGGTGCTGTACAGCAAGGCCACATCTCATTAGCGAGCATGCTTGAGTG